ACTATGGTTATTGAAATATTGGATGTAAATGGGGTTTGCTTGCAAAACCTCCGCTGACGAAGTCGCGGGTAACAGCTAGTATATATATATATTTTAAATAAATATTGTAAAAATATTAATTTTATGAACATGTTTAAGCATTAGTTTTATTCATTTCCTAATTTTCAATTATCATAAATTAATAGAAATTATCATTAAATAAATATATAAAAATTTAAAATTAAAATTTGAAATTATTTGTTTTTTTAGATTAGATTAATCTATTCAATTAACAACATTAGTTACAATTTTATATTTTTATGTATATAAAAAATGATTTTACTTTCTATATATACTTTGATTATAAGGTAGGAAAACAATACTAACACTATTCAGAGTGAGATTCTTATCATGAAATAATTATACACAATGATATTTTATAGTGATATTCATTTCTAAAGATCTTTATTAAAATTCAAAAAAATATTCATGTCTGAGAATTTAAATCCTATTTCAAGGATAAGAAGCATAATCTTAAAAATTCTCCCACTAGATCAGTTTTTTTTTTTTTCCAAAATCTTTAAACTATTTGGAAGATATTAACATTTTAATAAGTTCCTGTGTATATCCTATCTACTTGGATCTTATTTATTAAGGATTTATACTGGCATAGTTTCCAATTAGCAAAGAGGAGGAGGAAAACAGTCAAATGTCAAAACAAAATATCTTTATTTTCATCTGCTGCTTGAAATTGAAATATTGAAGGCTGAAGGTGAAAATAAAGATATTTTGTTTTGACTAAGTTTTCCTCCTCCTATTTGCTAATTGGAAACTACGCCAGTATAAGTGCTATTAATAAAAAATGTCTAAGAAGACAGGATATACACAGAAATTTATAAGAATATAAGAGGTATAAAGAATTAGTTTATTTTAAATTTAGAAAAATTATGCCATAAAAATTTTCATTTTTCAAATTTATTCTACAAAATTTGAACAGGTTAAAGTCCCACTCCAGAATGACTCTTTCCATCTAAATTTTCTAAATTAAAGCAAATTTATTTATAATTACTAAATTTATCGAGAGATGATGTTGGCCTAACTGCTTATCTTTAGTCTAATTACTCTATAATTAATTATTAAAATTAGTCTTAATATAGTCCAATAATCTGGTAGTTCATTTGGCTTCAAAACAATTTAATAAAATTCCTAAAAAACTAACAATTATTAACTTGTTTTAAATCTAAGTGTAAATGTACATTTAATAGTTATTCATATTAGAAAAATGAGCATTCCAAATTATTCAAATTTAAACTATGTTCCTTTAAAAGCTGCTGCTTATATTTGATTAGTCTATATAAGTGAAAAAACCTATTTAATAACTATAGGTAAAAGTACTTTTAATTTAAAAAAAACCCAAAAACTAAAGAAGAAAATTTCAATATTGCAAGTGCTGTTTTATTTTCTAATATTAATAAATATGCAGGTTCAGATTTCTACAAAATGCCATTATCACTTCTTTAGATTTCTGAATGTCTATTCAATAAATTTTCTTCCTTGTTAGGTTTTACTTGTTTATGGCAATGCGACATATGGGTGATCTGCCAGGGAAAGGATACTTCCCGGGAAGTCTTACAAGAAACTGGCCTCTATTTAGGTGTTACTAATGTGAATATAACACAAACTCCACGTGGCCAGCCTGTTGATAAGGCATGAATCAATGACAAACTACCAGTGTTCCGTGGTTTTATCCAATCAGCCACATGGGATTTCTTCCTCATAAGATTAAAAAAGTATTCCTAAGGTTTTGCAAGTTAATAGGGCTTCCTTTATTTTTTAAATAGAACAAATACTGGCTATATTTTTTTAGTAGTGATAATACAGTATANTAAATAAAATTTCAAATATTACATAGATTCATAATAATAAATAAATAAATAAATAAATAATACATTTTTTAATTTACAATAAAAATTATTTGTCAAAGGTTGGGACTAAAGTTGTGACAGACATGAGATGAAGAGGCAGATAATAGAATTCCTCCTATCAGTACAGAAAAATTAATTTACAATCCATAATTAATACACATAAATCAAAGACTGCAAATATATATCTGCTGCATGGCAAATCTTTATATAATGATAAAACTGATCTTTACATGATAAACCACGTAAGAATATGCCATTATAAGTCAACCACAAACAAACATATATATTTCTAAATGTTGTTTCATATTCATTTAATGTTGTGTATTACATATATATATATATATATGAGGAATTATGAATGCATGGGAAATATAGGATGTTCTATATATGTTCTAAAAATTAAATATCATCATCACTTGTCAGTAACATTCCAACTTCAAATGTTATCAAATTGAAAGCTAGATTGGAAACCTGACTTTGACTTATGAAATATGCCAAAAACGTGTGTGTTCCTAATAAATGTGTTTGTTAAAAATGTAAGACTGGTGTTGAGATTTTCATAGTAAAGTATTTTACTTCATAATAAAATTAATATATACTTTAATAAATTACTATTTATAAATATTTAAAAATTACTTTGACTTTTGTTTAAAATTCTTTTACAATCATTTTTTTATCACTGAAGTTAAATTGTTGATTTGTATACCCATCCCATATATGTACCTTGTTACACTTTACTTTATAAAATAATGAATATTTAAAGCAAAATAAATAATTGTATATATTTGTATATAATCTCATTTCTTAAAATTGTATATATTAATATCAGTGAACCTTACACCAGTATACCTAACAACAAATACAGATCAAACTGTTCCTAAAAATGGTGTGATTCAGAGTCAACTATAAAACTTGTTCTAACCCCACACAAAATCAAATAATTAATGGCTTTAGCAGTGGTGTAGCAAACATAAGTGGCGCCCAGCGCACGACATTTTATTGGCACCCCCTCCCCCTCCAGAAACAAATCTGTTTGTCTTGAAGACCGTTTGGCGCCCCTCTGCAAGTGACACCTGGGGAATGACAGACCTCCTCGCTCCCTCACTACGCTAGTAGACTTATGAGAGGAATATATTTGAAAAATAACCATCCTTCGAAGAGCTAATAACTAAAATAATTTAAAATTTAAAACAAACAACATTAGACAAAGATCAAGTCTAGAACAATGCATTACAACAAAACTATCAGTTCTGAATGACAAAATAAAAGTTAATTCCCAATTGGATTTTTTAAAAAAGGCTTCTAAATTAATAAACAAAACTCATCTAAGTTATAAATGCTGGTGTATAAATTACATTCAAAAGAAAGAAACCAAGACCAGACAGTGTGTTTTGACTTTGAGTGAGATCCAAACACATTCTTTAGTAACATGATGAATGCTCTAATCAATTAAGTTACTGGTACATATTTACCCTAGCTCAATTGGCTAGAATACTTGGCATGTTACAATGCTCTAGATGTGGTCTGAATCTACAATAGTGTTTCTATATTTTAATTTCAAAATGACAAAAAGAAAAAAAAATGCTAAATGTAAGAAACCAAAATAAATTTTTTTATTCAGAAATGTTTTCATTCTTTTACAGATTATCAGCTTTAAAAGAACGAAATCATTTCTGAATAAAAAATTTATTTTGGTTTCCTGAATTTAGCATTTTTCTCTCTCATCACTTTAAAATATAATAACAAGTGCAAATGTTATTTTATTTTGATTCCTTTCTTTGGACAGTCATATATAGTTAATAACTAAGATTTATATTTTGGATATTATTTGTTAACAATTTTAGCATTCAGTTTTTTTCATACTGAAGATTTCAAATTAATTCTGAAATTATTAATTACTTCAATTTGAAGTTGGCAATAGTTAAAGTTAATTTAGTCATAAGTAACTTTTACTTTTCAATTATTTGATACTTCAGATTTTTGGATAAGTTTCTTTGTAAAATGCAGCTCAGTTGTGTACAATGTCAATAATACAGTTTGGTTTGGTACTCTCTAAACTGGAAGAAAAATAAAAAATCTCAATGGGTATTGAGTAAAGAAACTAAAGCAGTATAAGGAGTCAGGATATTTATTTGGGATAAAACACTTCTCAGAATTCCATCTTTAGATCACAACATTCTATAGAATATATTCATTCTATAATATATATACTTGAACCTGTATAGCTCAAATATGATTTATCTCAAAATTTATTTTTTCCCCCTGCCTTTTCAGTCTAAATTCAATATATTTTCCATGTTTATCTCAAATAATTTTCTCCCAAAACCGCTATCTCAAATTATGGAATGAAGTGTCAATTACTAATTCAAAGTTCAGCAACTACATTTTGAAAGCATAAACTGCAATTAATAAACATCTCTTGCAATACAGTACATAGTTGCAATTAATGCTACTTTTTTCTGATTAGCTACTAGTTTGGAATATGTCTTATTGGTTAAGAAAGTCAGGCATCAGAAATTATTGACAAACTATCTCTGTTAAGGTACATCAAAAATGTTTTATTTATACCTGATACAGATGCGTACTATACTTGCTATTGTATTAATAAAATACAGTATCTCCAATCAAGCTTATTAACCTATTACTGTTTTATTATGTTTATCTCAAATCTTTTTCTCATTCTTGTGAAACTCAAGGTTCAATCTATTATGAATGTTGTAGATTGAAGATGAAATTAAAAATCCTGAAAAGTGCTTTATCCCAATAAATATCCTAACTTTTTTAACTGCTTTTACATAAATTTTGTGTTTTGAAATAATACTTATGTAATGGTGTCTTAAGACAATGCTCATAAGAAAAGAGATTACAAAACACCAAACTTGTTACCAAGGCTAGGACATGTATGCACTAAAAGTCATATAAATTATTTTTATAAATATGATTTTTAATGCCTAGATTTCCCAGCCTTACTTATTACACAACTCAATATTGAAAACTAATCCCTTATAGAACATTTGGTAATTATTTAATATTTTTAATCAAAATGTGTTTTTCATTAAAACTAATTTTAACTTCGTACAAATAAAAACTTCTTACTTTTAATTGCAAATATTTCATATGTAGTTCAACTTTATGTACACAGTCTTCAAAAAGAACCACCATTCTCATTGTTTTCTCACAACTCTGGATGTAACGAACAAGTGTCTTATGATCAACTTTTTCCATATCGTGCCCATTGATAGATAAAATGACATCACCTAGTTATAAAAAGCAATGCAAAAAATTTTAAACATTAAATATTGGTAAAAGAATGTAACTTATTTTCAATTTAAAATTATACCTGGTCTCATTCCTGCACGAAAAGCAGGACCGTCATATTCCACATAGTCAACGTAAGTTATTAATTCAATTTCTCCATCCTTCTTGTGATGAATCCCATATGTCTGAAAATTATTTAATAATAATCTTCATAAAGTTATTGAATATATATTTGTAATTACAAGTAAATTTAATTGAATCTAACAAATTTAATTACTATCCAAAATTTAAAATTAAAACTAAGCTATTTCAAATGTTACTATGACAGTGAAAGGATTAAATTTTATTAAAATTACATAAGACTGATAAACTTTGTTTACTTATTAAATAACTTCACATATTTTAAATCAATCACAATAATGTGAGAACCTGGGCTAGTAATTTTTGTAATTTCAACAATCCTAATCTTTTTTTTTTTTTAAATTAAAAAAAACAAAAAAAAAAACAAAAAAAATGAATTTATTTTATTTCAATTAAAATTGACAAATTCAAAAGAGGAAATTCACAAGATTTTCCCACCAATAACATGTCCTTCATGAGTGATACATCTTCTAATAAAAATTACTCATTGAAGAAAATCTCTCAGAAAAAATCAGGGTTTGAACTAGGGTTTGGCTTCCTGCATAACCTTCCCAAATTTGGGCATCAAAACAGCAGGAAGAAGACCCCAATTAAAAGAAAGGGGAAAGAAGGTCAGAGAGTTCACCAGCCCGTTTTTGAAGTGTGTGCTCATCCCTGTTGTGCTCCACCACCGATCTTTCCGATTTCCTGCCATTTCCAAATCTTAACTACTCCAAACTAATTTACAATCAATTGAACCTGTTGTGGATATTACTATTGTGGACTTTTGAATTCAAGACTCACCATAAACAAGCCCTCCATTCTTCAGGACATCCAAGTGATCATCAACCATCACAAATCCAGGTAGTTTACAACCCACATACACAGTTGTGAACACTTGTACAGGTGAGCATAAAGGTTTAGACTCGCCTCTATTTCTATCTTCGTAATTTTCTATTTACTTGAAAAATAAATATATGTTGTTCTATGGTTAAATGCATAGTGGAGAGTGTTATTTCCAGTGTGCTGTCTCTCGACTCCCTCCTCCATCCCAAGCCTGTTTAGTCCTTCACACATAACCACTCTCACAGTTATAAATTATTTGAAATGTTCTTGTGCACCTGAAGTCACAGGTGGTATCAGTCCTGACTTTGGCACTGCTGACATAATAGTCACAATAAAATTGTATGCAGATCCAGATTTAAGCTGGTTCAACTTAAGATATAATATACAAGAGGCACTTCCTCTTCAGCAAATAACTGGAAATATGTATAAACTATCTTTGGGAATAGGAGGCACCTTGTAATGTGAGGTCCTAAGTTATAACAACTTAACTTATATGTAAATCTGACTGATTATATGAAAACTGTTCCTTAACATTTTTTGTAAATAAAGATTTCTTTTTAAAAATTTCTCTTTGTATTGTAGGTGCTACAAAGATCTTTTCTCTAGGCCCATCACAGGTGGCTGGCAGTTAGCCAGGCTCACAATAGAGCAGCTGAGTGATGAATGACAGGGCCCAACATATCACCAATTATAAAAAGAATTCCTGGAGTGCTTGCCTAGATTTGATCCTGTCCCAAAATCAATAGTAGTAGGATCCAGAATACTCTGGAGTGATAGGAACCTCTTTAAAGAGAATATTGTTTGATCTTATTATGTAATGTTCCATTTGAATTGGTAAAAGAAATTACAGCTGTAGGAGTTAAAGATAAGGGTAAAATTAAGCAGGAAAACTTTTTGTGATTAAATATATCTAAACTTCTAATTAAAATTATTTATTTATTATATATTAATACATAAACATTAAAAATGTTATAAAACCCAACACTCATTTTTTATCAAAATTTAAGAATTATTATTAGCTAATGTATCATTATATTTTAATATATACATACATAAATTTTTTATTACAGAAAATCATTCATATTTATGACATGTATTAAAAAATATTCTGAGTGATATTTAATATGCAAATATAATAATTATTAAAAAGATAAACATCAGGTAATAATGAATCCAATGTATTAATAAATATTATGGAAACTTCTTGGATTATAGTATATTTGATTTAATAAGATAACATGTAATCTTATCACAAATGTTTACAAAAATTGTTTTTCCACCCGATTTGATAACTTGATTGAAATTAATTTTAAAATTTCTTAAAAAAATTTTTTTAGTTGCAATATTTTCATGTGAAAACTAGAAACAATTATTCATCTATCATTTCCAAATTGTTAAAATATATAAATACTGTATTTTTGTATCTAGTTTAAGTTTTTGCTGTTTAAAATAAAATTTAAAACTGAGGTATATTTTGTCCCATTGCATAACCTGCATCTCTTTCAAATTGACATCATGAACTATGATGGCTGCTCTGTTAGATAGGGAGATATGACGGGATGGGTTTTATTTTTGTTCTAGAAATTTTCTGCAAATTATATGCAGAAAAATATTGTGTATATTTAAACTGGTATTTCATGTTTTTAATGCATTTATAAAATTTTATCTTAAAATATTTAATTTAGTATTTGAAAATTTTCTATAATATATTTCATTTTTGTATACTAAACTAGATGTTCTGTCTGACTGTCTTTGAAAATCCAACACAGACATTTCACAATGTTCTCATATCTGTGTTATAATTTATTATATATAATCATTTTTAAACAACATTAGTTGTATTGTTGTTCTTTAAAGTAATGCAGGGCAAATTAATTAAGCATTGCCTACATATTTTTGTTTTTTTAAAGTTAACTGACCAATAAATGTGACATTCTATTAAGCAGAATGTTTAACTTCATTGTCTTTTAAGGCCTAAAATATTTTATGGTTGTTTTAGATTTTCTGTTAATATACTTAGCATTCCCTTCTGAATATACTATTACTCTTTTCTGTAAGAAGCCTGCTTTTAATCAAACATTTCATGTGGGTGAGTGAATAAGCCAAATCAGATCAGATTTAGCTTTATTAAACAGATTACTTAACTGATACTTTACACAAATTGGCCTACTAGTAGCCAAGTGGATAAAACCACTAAGCGCTGGTAGTTGGTTGTGAGTTTGTGTATCGCAACAGGCTGGCCACATGGAGTTTTCTGGGTTTTCTTCACATTAGTAATGCCTAAATAGGGGTCAATTTCCCATTACAGACCTTCCAGGATGCATTCTCCTTTGGTATATCACCCATGTGTAGTGTTGCCCCAATCAAATAAAACTAAAAAATCTTTACATAAATTATATTTATATAATTAAAAACATCATATATTCACAGTAAATTCTTTATATTAATTCAAAACAAGTGATTTTGTTAGTAAGCATCCAAAAGCATAAACTATAAAATAGAAACTATGCATCTTGTTTTTCTCTATCTTTCTTTTTGTTTAGTTATACATTTTGTATGAGTATTCATCTATGACTCATCAGCTGATTTTTCCATCTAATATATTAATAAAAAATGAATTTTAAGCAGTTTTATAAAGTTTTTAGATGGAAGGTGGAATTTATACATTAAATTTTATATTTTTAAGGATTAATTTTTTATTATATTTTTAAATACTCAAACAATTGTCTTAAATAATCGGGCAATAAATCTGCTATTATTAATAATTAAATACTAAATAATTTGTTACTAGAAGTAAACGTTAGGCACCATCTCTTACCTAAATTAATAATTTATTAAATAATTTAGAATCATCTGGAATAAAAGAACCAGCCAGGGGCAAGGCTTGAACCTGCAATCTCCACTTGCCATGAGGTGTGCTTACCAGTTGCACCACCCAGACCCAAGCCTTCGCTTCCAGATTTATTTAAATTTAGATATAACCTTTAGTATATAATTATTAAAAATAGCAGATTTATAACATGATTATTTAAGATGATCATTTGGTTGAATATCTATGTATTTGACTTAGAGATGTTTAATCTAAATATATAAAATTGCTTGTCCTGACTGACTCACTCATTCATTCACTGATTCATCATCGCCCAGAGCAAACCGCTTAACCTAAAGAGGTGAAATTTGGTACACAGTTAGGGTACGTCATGGAAACGCACACTAAGAAAGGATTTTTCGAAATTCCAACGCGGGGGGG